CAGCAGCAGCAGCAACAACAACGCAAGAAGCAACTTAGTGGAAGAGGCAGCAGCAACGCGTGCGTCAGCAGCAGCGACTGCAGCAGCAGCAGCTGCAGCAGCTGCAGCAGCTGCAGCAGCAGCAGCAGCAGCAGCAGCAGCACAAAGTGCCCTAGCGGCAGAAGCAAAGCGCAAAACAAAAGCACCACGCAGCAACAGAAGCACAAACAGCAGCAGCAGCAGCAGCAGCACTATCAGCAGCAGCGCCACCGCAGCAGCAGCAGCAGCAGCAGCAGCACTGTCAGCAGCAGCAGTAGCAGCACCGTCAGCAGCAGCAGCAGCAGCAGCAGCAGCAGCAATTACTCGACAACTTCGTCTTGAAGGCCGAAGCTTTCCACCGCGTCTTTAACTTCTATAAGATGAGGAAATTGCTGCTGCAGCAGCGGCAGCAAAGAGAGTATGCTGCTGTATGTGAGGGGTATTTCGTGCTGCCCATTTATCAGTCTCGCCACTGCTGCTGCTGCTGCTGCTGCTGCTGCTGCTGCTGCTGCTTCTGCTGCTGCTGCTGCTGCGGCTTCCCCGCTGCCTGCGGAGGCAGAGGCGGCGCCCGCCGACGCTGCTGCTGCTGCTGCATCTGCTGCTGCTGCTGCAGCTGCTGCTGCTGCGGTGTCTTTCGCTTCTAATGGAATCCGCTGCTGCGGATAGGTCACAGCAGCTTCCGCGAAACCCTGCTGCTGCTGCAGCAGCAGCAGCAGCAGCAGCACCTGCTGCAGCAGCAGCAAGAGGGGGGAGCGCGCAGCCATTGCTGTGGGTGCCGTTGTAGCCAGACCATCGCATGCAGCAGCAGCTGAGGCGCCCAACTGCAGCAGCAGCAGCAGCAGCAGCAGCAGCAGCCGCTGCAGCAGCAGCAGCAACAGCAGCAGGAAGAGGTGGCTGCCTCAGCAAAGGTCGCGGGCTGCGGCTAGGGGCCCCACCATTGCAGAAGCAGCAGCAGCTGCTTCGAGTGCTGCAGCACAGTTGAGTCTGCTGCTGCTGCTGCTGCTGCTGCTGCTGCTGCTGCTGCTGCTCCAGCAGCAGCAAAGCAACAAAAGTGGCGAAGGGCTGCAGCGGCTGGGGTCGTGGCTGGCGAGCTGTCTATACACCCCGGAGCTGCCGAAGCGAGCTGCTGCAGCAGCTGCTGCTGCTGCTGCTGCTGCTGCTGCTGCAGCAGCAAAAGGCTTTTCTTCTGCTGATCTTCTACAAAAACGTCGCCTCTATAAGTCAGTAAGAAGATGGAAAACCCTTTGCTGTCCTTCTGGCGGCTCGCAGCGTGCTGTTGCTGCTGCCGCTGCTGCTGCTGCTGCTGCTGCTGCTGCTGCTGCTGCTGGTGTTGCGCAAGCAGCAGCTGCCAAAGAAGCTTCTTTTGCGCAAATCCGGAAAACTTGAAGTAATTGTTCTTTTTAATTCATTGAGAATAAAAAAAGAATTCAAAAAAGTGTTTTGGAAGTTCGGGGCTTCAGGGGGCTGCTGCTGCCACCAGGTCGTTTGAGGTGTACAGACAGCTCGTGCTGCTGCTGCTGCTGCTGCTGCTGCTGCTGCTGCTGCGGCTTTAATTCATTTCCGTTTCTTTCCTTTCGCCAATTTGCTGCTTTTTGCTGCTGCTGCTGCTCCTCGTGTCAGTGAGCAGCAGCAGCAGCCGAGACTCTAAGACACTGAACTGCCTCGAGCAACGCCTCTGCCGCCTCAAACCCTAAACCCTAAACCCTAAACCCTAAACCGTAAACCCTAAACCCTAAACCCTAAACCCTAAACCCTAAATGAGTGATGCCCGGGGGCTGCAGCGTAGAAGGCTGCTGGGACTTCCCCGTGGAAGAGGCATAGACGTTAGCCGTAGCCTCAGCCTCCAACTCGCAAACCCTAAACCCTAGACCCTAAACCCTAAACCCTAAGATCTTAACCCTAAACCCTAAACCCTCAACACGAAACCCTAAACCCTAAACCCTGCAGACAGTGGCTGATTCTGTCGCAGCGGATAGCCGCCAGTCTGTTTCGAGTGTATGTACACCTGGCGCATTCAGGAGAAATGCATTTATTTTAATTTGTTTCTTTTCGGAATTAAAAATGAAAATAAAATGGAAATAAAGAAAGAAAGAGTTTATTTTAATAAATGTGGAGTTTCTGAAGGGCAAATAAACTCCCAAGTGGAAAAATGATTTTAATTTGTTGAAATCTCAAAAACGATTTTGGCGCATGCATCAGGTGTACGTACACTCGAAAAATCCGCATTTTCGTCTCGCGTCGAAAAGTTCGTTTTTCTTCTTTAAGGCCAAATAAAAAGTTTAAAAAAGAAAAAAACACCCTTTTAGAGTTTATTTTTATATTTTTAAAGTTTCAAAAAGATAAAAACACCTTTTTAGGGTTTATTTCGTTTATTTTCAAGTGCAGAGATCCACATGATTGCAAAATACACTTGGAAAAAAAACGCAAATTCAAAAGTGGAAAACATCTTCAAAAAGAAGTCCAATTAATGACTTTTTTATTTTCCATTTTATTTACTCTTTTTTCCATTTTTTTTTATTTCAAAAATACTTTTTGCATGCAACCCCATCCAAATATTCCCATGTCATATTTTGGGATTTTCGACTATATGGTAAAATCTATATAAATATATTTATATTTATATTTATATTTATATTTATATTTTGCATTTATATTTTATATTTAATTTATACCATTATAAACCCTTTGCATATCTTTTTGGATATTCATACATACATGCCATTGATGAACACTCTATACATTATATATATATATATATATATATATATACATATATATATGTATATATATATATATATATAATATATATATATATATATGTCTATAGCATATATATATATGTGTATATTTATACTATATAAATTTGTATACATATAATGTAAATAATAATATGTATATTTATGGAATTAAAAAGACAATTTAAATTAAATGAATGAAGTTGCATGCATGCGCAAGCAACTCCATCAATAAAGTACTTGTGAAGCTGAGGAAGTAAAATGATGAAAATAATGAAAAGACAAAAACAAGAAAATTAATTTTGAATGGATTTAAATTTAATTTGAATTTATGGTGTCTATACAGCTTTTGCAGGGGCTTCTGCAGAAACGCATGCAAACAGAAAAAGAATTTTTTGTTTTTATTTTAAAAATAAATCTCTGTTTTCTTTTTGTCTTTTGTGCATTTGTTGTCTTGTTGAGGTGTACAGACAGCCCGGAGGTCTGCAGTGGCCGGAAGCTTTTCTTCATAAGTTGGAAAGTGTCATTTAATTCATTCATTTCATTTGTTTTTAAAATAGATTTGTTTGAATTGGTTTAAATGTCCTTTTATTTGTTTTTAAATTGCATCTATTTAAATCAATTTAAATGCCTTTTTTGCCTAATGTGCAAATATACAAAAAGGCATTCCTTTTGAAGGACACTTCTACGCCTAGGCAACTAAATGAAAAGAAATAGAAGAATACATAAATGAAAAGTGAAAAGGAAATAATAAAGAAATAATAAATAATTAATAAATAATAAATAATTAATAAATAATAAATAATAAAGAAATAAATAATCCAGAGTTTCTCAGCTACTGCCAAGAGCCGAAAAAGCCGCCATTGGGGGCCCGGCGCAAATAAAGGCAAATATGAATTGTTTTTTTTGAAGTTGGAGATAATTGAATTAAAATAGAAAATAAATAAAATAAATAATAAAGATTTGAATTTGTCTTTAAATGAGCATTCGAATGATATATAAGGAGCTTTGGAGCTTCGAACTGCGCGCATTCTGCGGTGTACGTACACCTGAGCGCATGCATGCGAGCGAACTAAAGAAGAATTAAGTGATTAAATGGACAAACTGAAGCGGAAAAAAAGGAGAATTAAATAAATTAAATCCTTAAATGCGGGAAATGAAGAAATAAAAGATTAAATCATCAAAAAAACGAAAAATCCTTCATTTTCCCCCCATTTCTTCTCCCCAAAGACTCTCTTCCTCCTCAGTCAGAGGCAGCTGATCTTCTTCAGCAAGAATTGGAATTTCAAGATCTGACTCGGAGTCAGAATCAGATTTATTTCTTTCTTGTCTTCTTCGAATTCTCTTTTGTAATTTTCTTTCTTTTTTGTCTAAGGCCTTCTGCTGCCTTTCCTGTTTGCGGCGCCTCCACCAGTCCCGCGCGCGGTTAAATTCCAGCATGCTGGGGTCCTCTGCTGCTGCTGCTGCTGCTGCTGCTGCTGCGCTGCTGCTGCTGCTGCTGCTGCTGCTGCTCAGCGAGTTCTCGAGGCCGTCGTACAGCGCAGCGTCCGCGTCCTCCGCGGCGTCTTCTGCTGCTTCTGCTGCTGCTGCTGCTGCTGCTGCTTCGTCAGCAGCAGCAGATAACTCCGAGAAACTCTCAGGGTCCTCAGGGAGGGGCCCTGCAGCAGCAAATGCAGCAGCAGGGGGCCCCAGGGGGGCCCCCTCGAGCTGCCCCTCTGCTGCCAGCAAGTTCGAGGACACTCGGAAGCAGAGGCCTCCAATGGGAGCTGACAGAAGTGCTGCTGCTGCTGCTGCTGCTGCTGCTGTTCGCAGCGTGGGCTTCGCCCAGCTGCTAGCCGCCCGCCAGGCAGCGGCGCTCCTTGTGCAGCGCTGCGCCTAGGGGCCTCTTTCCCGCATTTGAAGGATTTAAACCTTTTAAATGCATTTAATTCTTTTTTAAATTATAATTTTAATTTAATTTCACAAATTAATTAAACAAATGACGGAAAATGGGGCCCTGCAGCGGCTGGCGGCGCCGCCGACGGCGGGCGCCACCGACGGTCACCTGGGACTCCGAACTGCAGAAACTTGAATTTTTAACTCCAAATTGAATTATTTTGAATTATATTTATTTAATTTTAATTTTAATTTGTTATTTTCAAATTTATTTTTACTTTTAAAACAGTTTTAATGCTCTTCTCGAGATGGCGCTCATCGGCTCGGTGGCTGCGGTGTCTGTACACCTGGACAGTACACTGGAAAGCTGATGCACTCGCCTCTCCACCATTTTAAATTAAAATTTAAATTTAAATATAAATTAAAATTTAAATTTAAATACTTTTTAATTTAATATTAATAATTTTAAAAAGCTAAAAATGAAAATAAATTGCTGCTGGTGTTCTGAAAGTATTTCAAAGACTTCGATACTTGCGCAGCCTCTGCTGCAGCAACGCCGTGCTCCCGCTACTGCTGCTGCTGCCGCTCTAGCTGCTGCTGCTGCTCTTGCTGCTGCTGCTGCTGCTGCTGTTGCTGCTGCTGCTGCTGCTGCTGCTGCAGCATTTATTCCCCCTAGTTGCAACTATCTGTAAATGCGATTAAATGAAAGTCTCGAAATGGAAAAATAATAAAGCGAAAGACTCAGGCGGCTCGCCGAGGGTGCCAGCCGCCCAAGCTCGCAACCCTAAACCCTAAACCCTAAACCCTAAACCCTAAACCCCACCCCCCGAAATGGACAGTTGCGGCGATCAGTTGCTGCTGCTGCAGAACTGTTGGAGCTGCTGCACTTGGACGAGTCAGCAGCAGCTGCGTTGAGCTTGTGCGCCAGCCCGCGAGCCCAAACCCTAAACCCTAAACCCTAAACCCTAAACCCTAAACCCTAGGCGTGGAAGACCAAACCCCAAACCCTAGTTTGGCTGCAGAGCCTGCACGTGCAAGAAGCTGGAGGCGCCGTCTTTATTGCCTCCGCCCTTCCTGCCTTTGCCTTTTCTTTTTTTCTTATTTTCCTTTTGGAGAAAAGCCGGGGCCGAATCAGCAGCAGCAGCAGCAGCAGCAGCAGCAGCAGGCGCTGCAGCAGCAGCAGCCGCGTCGGAGTCGGCCGCGTAGCCAGCCGGCAGCAACGCCTCCCCGGCTTCAAACTCCGAAGACTCCGAAGGCTTCAGCAACAAAGCAAAAGAAGAAATGGAAAAAGAAAAGAAATGAAAAGCCCCGAGGGCTGCGAGGGTTCGTGCGAGTTTCATTTCGGGTGTACAGACAGCTGCGCGCGCGGCCGCGGCGAAACGCGCACTCCCGGAAAACGCGGAAAACCACTTCTGGGCCGAGAAATGGACTTTCTTTTCCGTTTAAAAGCCACTTTTTGCAAACAATTCAAATAATTGGACTTTTTAAAAAGAGATTCCGCGAAAAAACGCGAAGAAGACGCCGAGGAAGCGCCGCGAGAACCTGCAGCAACCGCGGGCTCTCCAGAAGCGAGTCCGCCCGCCACGCAACAGCCAGGAGGCTAAAAACGCCAGAAATTAAATAAAAGACTTTGTTTTAGATTTGTTTTGTCTTTTAAGAAACGTTTAAAAGAAAAAGAGTGAAAAAAACCGCAAAGGAAGAAAGCCCTGGGCTGGCGAGCCTGCAGAGGCCGCAGCCGGGGAGCCGCGGGGCCGTCGCGCGCGGCCGGCGCCGCCGATCCTGCGCAAAATAGCTCCATTTTGCGTTTATTTTTTCGCAGTTTTATTTATTTGTAATTTTAATATTTAAAAATAAACAGAAGACGCGAAAAGAAGCGCGAAAAAGGCTCCAAAGGGCGCGGAGGACGCGGCGATCTCGAGCCAGCCCTGCGTCACCGGATCTGGCGCGGGAGCTGCGGCGAAGATTCTGCGGGGAAAAGTGCTTGAAATTGAATTTAAATTCAACATTTGAATTCAATTTAATAAATTTAATTCTTTTAAACTTTATTTAATTCAATTTGACGGAGAAATCCGCGCAGCCGCGCGAAAAAGTCCTCGCCGGACCGATCGCGCGAAGACCGGTGGTGCTGTCGGCGCTGCTGCTGCTGCTGCTGCTGCTGCTGCTGTCTTGCAGCTTTATTCTACACCGAAATGCTTCAAATTAATTCAAATTAATTTAAATTTTAAATTAATTTAAAACCGCATTTTTATTTCGCATTTAAAGGCCCCTTTTGAGGTCTGTGCCCGCAGATCGACCGCCGGGCTGCTGGCGGCGCAGCTGCTGCTGTCCGCAGCAGCAGCAAGAGGACCGGCTCGCTGCTGCTGCTGCTGCTGCTGCTGCTGCTGCTGCTGCTGCTGCTGCTGCTTGTTTTTAATTCTTTTTTGGATTTGGGTTTAAAGAGCCCCTAGTTGAGCAGTTTCTGGATTTCTTTTTTGACTGTCCGGGTGTCGCGGGCCGAGATGTCTGTACACCTGAAAAAAGCTGCCTTCTTGGCGGCCCTTTCTTTGTTTTTACTTTTTAATTTTTTTCTTTTTTCTCCCGCAGCAACTTTGCTGCTGCGCGCAGCAAAGCTGGACTCTGCGCTGAGTCCCAGCAGCTTCGTGCAGAGGTCCAGGCTGGGGCTCAAGAAGAAGCGCAGGCCAAAGCAGCAGCAGCAGCAGCAGCAGCAGCAGCAGCAGCAGCAGCAGCTGCAGCTGCCGCTGCACCTCCCCTACTCAGAAATGGCCGAAGCAGATCTCCTGCGGCCCAGTGCAGAGTCGGGGGACTCTAGCTGGGAGGAAGAAGACACAGAGGGCCCCCAAGACCCAGCAGCAGCAGCAGCAGCAGCAGCAGCAGCAGCAGCAGCAGGACCCGCCTCAGCTCCTGCTGCAGTCGGCAGAAGGAGGGTCACCTTGGGGGATGTCCTCGGCAGCAGCAGCAGCAGACGCCCCCGGCGGCCTCCCCGAAGAGTTCCTTCAGTGAAATATGAAAGAGTAAGGAGAGAAATAGAAGGTAGAAAAGAGATGCAGCAGCAAGCAGCAGCAGCAGCAGCAGCAGCAGCAGCAGCAGAAGCGGGGGCCCCCGAGGCGCCCCGCATGCCCACTATTCCCCTGCCCCCCATTCCCCCAGCAGCAGCAGCAGCAGCAGCAGCAGCAGCAGAAGGAGATGATGAGCATTTGTATGAAGAGATAGATATTGGGGGGCCGCACTCGGCGCCGAGCAGCAGCAGCAGCAGCAGCAGGAGCAGCAGCAGAAGGAGCAGCAGCAGGAGAAGCAGCAGCAGGAGAAGCAGCAGCAAATCCCGCAAAAAGCTCCCCTCTTTGCTGCGGCAGCAGCTAGAAACCCCACAGTCCAGAAAGAGTGCAGAATTGACAGAGTGGGAAGATGAAGTTTCAACTCTTATTTCGGGATCGGGATCGGGATCGAAGTCGATCCCGGGATCGGGATCGGGATCGGGAGTTGTGGGGAGGGAGCAGCAGGAAGAAGGGGACGACGAGCCGATTTTCGGGTCCTATATGCGCCGGGGGGCCGGCAGGCAGCAGCAGCAGCAGCAGCAGCAGCAGCAGCAGCTGCAGCAGCAGCAGCAGCAGCAGCTGCTGCCGCCGCAGCCAACACCCCGCCGTTTCGGCCCTAGGAAAACTCTCCATGGGGCCCCCGGCTGGAGACCAACTCCAAAACCCCGGAAGCTTCTGAAGGCTGCTGTGAGTCACTCGCCAGCTTCTGCTGCTGCTGCTGCTGCTGCTGCTGCAGCAGCAGCAGCAGAAGGCAAGGGCGCAGCAGCCACACCCAAGAGACCACCTACACCCCCCAGAAGGATGGGGCTTGAAGACCAGCTGCGGCAGCTGCAGCTGCAGGAGGGAGAGCAGCAGCAGCAGCAGCAGCAAGAGGAAGAGCAGCAGCAGCAGCAGCTAGAAGAGCAGCAGCAGCAGCAGCAGCAGCAGCAGGCTGCAGCAGCAGCAACAGATGACGAAGATGAGGGGCCCCCCGACTTCATTCCCCCACCGCCGCCATTCAAAAGGCCGGATCCCACAGAGTAGCCTTAAGTTGATTTTAAAATAAATAAATAAATAAATAAATAAATAAATAAATAAATAAATGAATAAATAAATAAATAAATAAATAAATAAAATAAAAAAATAAATAAATAAATCAAAAAGGAGAATCGGAGGGGGCGGAGCCGTTCGGGTGTCTACGCAGCTGAGGTGTCTGTACACCCGAAGAAGGCGCGACTTCGGGTCTTTTTATGTTCAGAAAAAACATTTTAAATTAATTTAAAATTTAATTAATTAATTAAATTAATTAATTTAATTAATTAATTTAATTAATTAATTTAATTTTAAATTAATTTTAAATGCAAATTGAACAATTAAATCCCGTTTAAATGCCAAAATGGACCTCCCAATTGCACTCTCCCAAACCCTAAACCCTAAACCCTAAACCCTAAACCCTAAACCCTAGAACTGGAGATATTGGCGGCTCTTGTGTAGTCGCTGGCAGCGGTAAAAAGAGAGCAACAAAATCCAATTTAATTTATTTACAATTTTTAATCTGCAATTATTAATTTGCATTTATTAATTTCCATTTATAAATTTAAATTTATTTATATTCTATCTTGTGCAACTTCTGACAAACACAGCGTGTTGCTGCAGCAGCTGCTGCTGCTGCCACTGCTGCTGCTGCAGCTGCTGCTGCTGCTGCTGCAGCTCGACTTTTATGGACTTGTAAATTTTATTTGATTGTTTAACTCAATTATTCATTTAAATTACCTTTGTTATTAATTCTATTTATTTACTTAGTTTTTTATTTGCATGCATTTGCCAGTCTTTTCCCCTTTCCTCTTGAAAAACAGCAGTTTGCTGCTGCAGCAGAGGCCCTAAAGCCGCAGCAGCAGCAACAGCAGCAAACAGCTGAAGCCTACACCAGCAGCAGCAGCAGCAGCAGCAGCAGCAGCAGCAGCAAGAAGCAAACATAATGAATTTGCCATTTAGCCATCCATAAAATGTTCATTCGTTTATTTAAATCCATAAAAAGGTCAGCCAAAATCAGGGGCCGACGATCTGCTGCAGCAGCTGCTGCTGCTGCTGCTGCTGCTGCTGCTGCTGCTGCAGCTAGTGATTTGCTGCAGCAAAGCGTTCATGTCAAAGACACGGGGGCCCCCCCAGCCGCAGTCTAAATGCCCCAGGCCCTGCAGCAGCAGCAGCTGCAGCTGCTGCTGCGGCAGGCAGCGCCGGAGGTAAGCAGCACTTGCCTCTGCAGCACAAACAAACACAAACGCTGCTGCTGCTGCTGCTGCTGCTGCTGCAGCAAAAGGGAAGGAAAAATTCCCAAAGGGAACATCCAGAAGCAACAGAAACCACGAGGGTTTAGGGTTTAGGGTTTAAATCTTAGTAAAGATGGTAAACGCGAGAGTGCCCCAGCAGCAGCAGCAGCAGTAGCAGCAAAAGCAACCCCAGCAGCAGCAGCAGCAGTAAACGCAGCAGCAGCAGCAGCAGCAGCAGCAGCAGCAGCAGCAGCAGCAGCGGCAGCAGCAGCAGCAGCAGCTAACCCGGCATCACGAGATTGTCATCTGTTCCAAGAAATACAAAAAGTTTGCTGCGGATTCTTTCTATGGGGTATCGGCCTCGCGGCACTATCAGCTCAGGCAGTCCTGCTGCTGCTGCTGCTGCTGCTGCTGCTGCTGCAGTTGCTGCTGCTGCACCGCTGGGAGGCTCAGCAGCAGCAGAAGCCAAAGTTGACAAGGGTTTTGTGCTGCGCAGCTGCTGCAGCCAGTGAGCGAAATTTTGGCGCGAGGTGCCCCCTGCAGAAGCAGCAGCAGCAGCAGCAGCAGCAGCAGCAATTTTGACAGCAGCAGCTCTTGTAGAAGCAGCAGCAGTATGCAACGAAATGAGCAGCAAAACAGCAGCAGCAGGCTTTGCAGCAGCAGCACGAGCAGCAGCTACCGCATTGGTAGCAGCAGCAACATCAGCAGCAGCACCACCCGCACTAGCAGCGCTCGCAGCATCAGCAGCATCAGCAGCATCAGCAGCATCAGCAGCATCAGCAGCATCAGCAGCAGCAGCAGCAGCAGCAGCAGCATCAGCATCAGCAGCATCAGCAGCATCAGCAGCATCAGCAACATCAGCAGCATCAGCAGCAGCAGCAGCAGCATCAGCAGCATCAGCAGCATCAGCAGCAGCAGCAGCAGCAGCAGCATCAGCAGCAGCAGCGCTCGCAGCAGCAGCAGCAGCAGCAGCAGCAGCAGCAGCTCCCACCTGAGGGCGTGTGCGTGAAGTTGATGATCAGCTGCTGCTGCTGCAGCTGGGAACTGTAGAAGCACATGCTGCTGCTGCTGCGGGCCCCCACAAGAGCATCTCCTGCTGCTGCTAAAAGGGCCCCCGGCAGCAGCTTGACAGCAAGCTTGAGGGCCCCCAAGACAGCAGCAGGGCGTTTGCTGCCGAGCTGCAGCAGCAGCAGCGCAGCACGCGGCAGCTGCTGCAGCGGCTGCAGCAGCAGCGGCGGAGAAAACAAAACCCCACAAGGACACAAAAGACACAAAGAAGGACAAACTGAAAAACTAATCAGCAGCTGTGCTGCACCTTGAGACTGCCCCACGCAGATAATGCCCCCCCCAAACGCGCTGCTGCTGCTGCTGCTGCTGCTGCTGCTGCTGCTGCTGCTGCTGCTGGTGCTGCTGCTGCTGCTGCTGCTGCTGGTGCTGTGGTTGGCGGCGCTGCAGCTGCACGCGTTGTTGCTGCTGGTGGTGCTGCTGCGTTGGCAACTGCACCTGCTGCTGCTGCTGCTGCTGCTGCTGCTGCGTGTCTTTGCTGCTGCTAAGGCTTTGCTGCGCATTTGCTGCAGCACGCGCGAATTGCTGCAGATGTACTGCAGCTGCGCAGGACAATCATAAAGGGCCATTTCGTTGAAGGACCAAGAAGCTGCTGCTGCTGCTGCGTCGAAGGCAAAGGGCGGCGCCTCGCTGCTGCTGCTGCAGATGCGCGGACAGCTGCTGCTGCTGCTGCTGCTGCGGCTGCTGCGGCAGCTGCTGCTGCGGCAGCTGCTGCTGCTGCTGCGGTTCAGCCCAAAGCAGCAGCGCGGGGCTCCTTGAGAGTCTTGCGCTGGGCCAACGGCCTGCTGCTCCCCAGCAGCAGCAGCAGCAGCAGCAGCAACTGCAACGGCTATATCGTCAGCAGCAGCAGCAGCTTGCTGCTGCTGCACATCGCTTCTCAAGCTGCTGCTGCGAGAAGGGTTGCATGCGCTGCCTCTTGTAGAAGCAGAAAAGTCCGAACCCAACCCTTCGTCGCTCCCCTGCTGCTGCTGCTGCTGCTGCTGCTGCTGCTGCTGCTGCTGCTGCTGGTCTGCGCCCTCACAGCAGCGCAGCAGCTGCAGCAAATCGCCCCCCACTGAGCAGCAATTGGGGGTACACACAGTGGCAGCTGCGCAGCCACCCGCAGCAGCAGCAGCAGCAGCAGCAGCAGCAGCATCTGTGGGCCCTTCATCCGCAAAGCAAAAAGAAGCAAAAGAGGCGTCCCTTGCATGGCCAGTTTGCTGCTGCTGCTCTTGCTGCTGCTGCTGCTGCTGCTGCTGCTGCGTGGCTACTTGCCTGCTCCAGCGCATCTTCAGCAGCAAGATGGAAGCCTCTCTGCATGCATTTAGCAGCAGCTGCTGCTGCTGCTCTTGGGGCTTTCCCCGCAGTTGTGGCAGCGGCGTAAGGCCGCTGCAGCGGCAGCAGAATAGAGAGCAAACCTCTTCATCAGCAGCAAGCTGCTGCTGCTGCTGCTGCTGCTGCTGTTCCTGCTGCTGCTGGTTCTGCTCGTGCTGCTGCTGCTGCTGCTGCTGCTGCTGGGCTTGCTGCAGGAGCAGCTGCTGCTCAGCAATGAAGGCGTGCAGCGTCCACAAGGAGAAGCCGCTTCCCCCCGCTACCTGCTGCTGCTGCTGCTGCTGCTGCTGCTGCTGCTGCTGCTGCTGCTGCAGGTGCCGGGTGTACTCGTTGCCCCTGGAGTTTGCAAGCCAGACTTCTCCCCCTTTTGCTGCTGCAGCAAAAGGCAAAGAAAGCCACCCGCTGCTGATCCAATTAAGAGAAGACTCCAGCAGCCCGTGGGTAAAAAAGAAGACTTTCCCGCTGCAGTCTGCTGCCAGCCTGCTGCTGCTGCTGCTGCTGCTGCTGCTGCTGCTGCTGCTGCGGGTGTCCGCTGCTGGGGAGGGCTCGAGGTGCCCTGCTGCGGGCGGCGGCGTGGGCGCTGCAGCAAGAGCAGCAGCAGCAGCGCGTGCTGCTGCTGCTGCTGCCCCCGGGTCAATTTCTTCGCAGCAGCAGCTGCTGCTGCAGCAGCAGCAAGTGACCCGCAGCAACTTGTAAAGAAAGATCTGGTAGCCGTCAGCTGTATGTACACTGTGTCTCTCAGCTTTGAAAAATCCCCTGCTGAGGCTGTGGGTGTATCTCTCCATGAGGTCTGGGCAGAAGCGCAGCAGCAGCTGCTGCCGCTGCTGCTGCAGCAGCAGCAGCAGCAGCCTGCGCAGGCTCCCGCACAGCAGCTTGCTGCAGCTCTCAGCAGCAGCTGCTGCTCCAAAACAATTCGAAATTCTACTTATTAAAGAACCAAAGAAAAGCCTGGAAGAGGCCACAGAAGCGCTGCTCAGCCTTGCTGCTGCTGCTGCTGCTGCTGCTGCAGCAGAACCTGCAGCAGCAGCAGCAGAAGGCTCAGGAGGGGCACTAGAAGCACCTGCAGCAGCAGCAGCAGCCGCAGCAGACACAGCTGCTGCAGCGGGCTGCTGTCCTTTTTTTTCATCCTTGTCTTCTTCGTGTGCAACAGCAGCAGCTGTTGCTGCTGCTGCTGCTGCTGCTGCTGTTTGCCTAATGTTGACTGACACGGATAGAGCTGCTGCCACCTGGGAGTCCTGGCAGTGCTGCTGCTGCTGCTGCTGCTGCTGCTCTTCTGGTATCGTCTCAGCAGCAAATAAAGCCTCGTTGAAGTCGCTCTGTGCTGCTGCTGCTGCTGCAGCAACAGCAGCAGCAGTGTCTACTGGCGCATTTGTAGCACAAGGATGATAGAGAGCAGCAGCAGCAGCACGGCGAGACCCTTCGTCTCTCAAAGGCTCCAGCAAAGCTCTTTGCTGCTGCTGCTGCTGCTGCTGCTGCTGCTGCTGCTGCTTGTGTGCAATGCTGTCTGCGCCGTCGCGTGCAGCAGCAGCTGCTGCCCCCTCCATCTAGAGTTGCTGCTGCTTGTCCCCACGATGGGGGTGGAGGAAATGGGGGGGCTTGCGGATCTGCTGCTGCTGCTGCTGCTGCTGCTTCTGCTGCTGCTGCTGCTACTGCTGCTGCTGCTGCTGCTGCTCTTGCTCAGGCCATTACGGTGTGCCTTGTAAATTGCGATCTTTGGGGCCCCTGGTGGAGCAGCAGCAGCTGCTGCTGTTTGCTGCTGCAGAGCTGCTGCTGCTGCAGCTGCTCCTACGAGGCGCGGCAAGGCCGAACCGGCAGTGCTGCCGCTACTGCTGCTGCTGCTGCTGCTGCTGCTGCTGCTGCTGGGGCTTGAATTCAGCGTCGATGAGGCCGGAAGGCCCAGCAGCAACGAGCCGCTGCTGCTGCTGCAGGATCCGGAGAGAACTGCGGCAGCAGCAGCTGTGGGGCCTGCTGCAGCAGCGCAGCAGCTGCGGGGGGAGGAAGCTGAATTCAATGTTGCTGCTGGCTGGCTCGCGGATCAGGGGCCTCGGGGGGCCCTAGAGGCTCAAAAACTTCTCCAGAAATGTATTTTAATGCATGCATGAATTAAAATTGAAATTAAATCGAAAAAGAAGGAAAATTGGGCAGCTTTCCTCGAGCCGACGCGGCGGCGGCGGCAGCGCTGCAGCGCCAGCAGCAGCAGCTCGCGCGCAACTGCCCCGGAATTGCATTCTTTGCCTTTGTCTTCTTTGTTTATTTTAATTAAAAACCAAATGCAATTCAAATTTGCAATTTTAATTCCAAAAAGAGCTGCGGAAGCTGCAGCAGCAGCGCCGCGGCTGCCCGCGCCGCGTCCTGCGGACTCCAGCGCCGCCTCCGGGGTGGAGCCGATGCGGGGGTTATTCGCCGTTTAAATCTTTTCTTCCAAAAACAAATGAGTTTAAAATCTCATTTTAATTCATTTCCGCAAAAAAAATCCCCAAAAAGGCGCTCGCCGCGGGCCGCCAGCTCCGCGGCTGCGCTGCAGCAGCCGCGCCGCTGCTGCGCTAGCTGTCTGTACACCTGAAAAAATCGCCATTTGCTGCAGTTTCTTTTCCTCTTTTTCGCCCCCAGCTCTCCCCACTTCTTTTAAAGTGCCTTTTTGTCTTTTTTGGCATTAGAAGAGATCCAAAGGGGGCCGGCAGCAGCAGCTTGCCTCTTGCTGCAGCCCCTGCTGCTTCGTGTCTTCTTTCTCTGCGAGCAGCTGCAGTCGTGGGGCCCCGCAGCTCTGGGAGCTGGATCGGGATCGGGATTGGCTGCTGCAGCAGCTGCAGCAGCAGCAGCAGCAGCAGCTGCAGCAGCAGCAGCAGCAGCAGCAGCAGCTCGAAGCAGCAAGTGAGGAGGCCAAGGTGTCTGTACACCCGGAAAGTAGCCAGCAGAAAGCCACAAAAAAAAAGGAAATATTGAAACACTTTTAGCTGCGCATTAATTTAAAAACAAAAATAATTAAACTCAGAAATAACTGACGAAGAAGCAGCAAATAAAATAAATCTTTTAATTCCAAAAACTGCCAGAGGTGTGCAGACACCTCAAGCGCAGTTGATATTCTGAGGTGTACGTACACCTGCGAGAAGAACTCCCACTATAAACGCAGTTGGGATTATTGATTTACATTTAATTATTCGATTCATTTGATTTATTTTATTTAATTTATTTAATTTATTTAAGTTATTTTATTTTATTTACTTTATTTGTTTTATTTATGTTTGAATTCATAAAAGCAGCAAAAAGCAGCAAAGCCGCTACAGCAAAAGTTGCAGCAGCAGCAGCAGCGCTGCGGTGTCTGCTGCTGCTGCACTTTCTTCATTTATTTCTTATCTCCAGATGATATTAATTAACTAACTAATTGATTAATTGATTAATTGATTAATTGATTAATTAATTAATTAATTAATTAATTAATTAATTTAGTTATGATTTATATATTTTGTTTTGTTTTTATTTCTTATAGCTTCTCTCTTTTACTTTTGTTGAAAGGTAAAGAAACATTGTAACATTTTCCTTTATGTTTGCTTGCTTCATGAAGACATAAATAAATAAATAAATAAAATAATAAATAAATAGATAAATAAATAAATAAATGAATCAATAAATAATAAATAAATAATAAATAAATAATAAATAATAAATTAATAAATAAATAAAGTTCGAAACAAATAAAAATAATGGCAAATTAATGAATTAATTAAAAATTGAAATATAATGGAAAAGTGAAGGATTGCATGATGTGTATGTACACTCCAATGCCTGTACTGCATTCAGGTGTTCTTTCATTATTTAATTTTATTTATTTCTATTCTTTTTAAATCTTTTCATTTATTCTTGAAGAGGATTAAAAAGATTATTAAATATATAAATATAAAATAGAAAATAAATTTAATATTTCTTTTGCTGGGGCATTGGCTGAGGCAAAGCAGCAGACACAGAACTCCTTTTCGAGGCCGGGGTTTAGGGTTTAGGGTTTAGGGTTTAGGGTTTAGGGTTTAGGGTTTACAGCCAAAAAGCACAGAATGCTGCTGCCTTTCTGTTTCTGTTTTGTTTCTTTAATGTCAAATTCAAACTTTAGTTTTTGGCTCTTTAACAAGCAGTTTTGTTATCTACAAACAAACAAATAAGTAAATAAATAATAAATAAATAAATAAATAAATAAATAAATAAATAAACAAATAAATAATATTAAAAAATAAAAAATAGATTTATATTTAAAAATTAAATTTGTCTTGGCGGTACGCTGGGGTGTATGTACGTACACCTGAAAGTTTGCACCTGTGAATTTCGAATTTATTAAATTGGAAAAGAAATAAATATAAAGATACAAAAAGGCCTCTGGGCTTATACTGCTGCTGCTGCTGCTCCTGCTGCTATTGCTGCTGCTGTTGTTGTTCGTGCTGCTGCTGCTGCTGCTGCTGCTGCTGCTGCTGCTGCTGCTGTTCTTTTGGTTCTTTGGTGATACCTCTTGCTGGCGCTTCACATCTTGCTGCGTAAGCAGCCCAAACTACGAAGGCAACTTGACTTATGAAGAGAGCCTTTTAGGCCAGCAGCAGCAGCAGCAGCAGCAGCAGCAGCAGCAGCAGCAGCTGGGGCAGCAGCAGCAGCGGCAGTTGCGTTGCCGATGTTGCGGCTGTGGGCGTTTCTTCTCAGAACTAGCAGCAAAAGTAATTAATTAAATTTGTTTTACTTTTGTTTTATTTTATAATTCATTTTTATTTCAAAAGATTCGAAAATGCCGCTTTTATTCGCAGATTTGCAATGCGCGTGTGCGCTCGGTGTACTGACACCCCAGCTGGCCGCGGCCGACCGCAGCAGCAGCAGCAGCAGCAGCAGCAGCAGCAGCAGCAGCAGCAGCAGCAGAACGGAGCTGCTGCGCGGCGAAAGAAGTTTAAATAGTTATTTTAAGAAATATAAATCCTTTTTGGATTTAAATATCAAATTAGTTTCATTAAAAATGCAAAACTTTTGCTGCTTTCCCGCCGATTTCCCCCGGGGGCTCCGGCGGCTGCCCGCGTGTGCAGGAGGTGGCGGCGCTCGCCTGCTGCTGCTCTGAGTCTCGTCTTTGTTTAATTTTGGAATTAAAAATTAAAATTTAATTTAAATAAATAAATTTATTTCAAATTTCCACTTTTCAGAGACAAAAGCCGCAGTTAGAAGCCCCCGGGGGGCCCAAGGTCACCTGCCGTCTCACTCCGAGGCCCCCACTGGTGCTGCAGCAGCAGCAGCAGCAGCAGCAGCAGCAACAGCTGCAGCAACAGCTGCTGCTGCTTCTGCTGCAGCTACTGCAGGCAGCGAACAGCAGGGCTACACACCGTGAAAAAGTTACGCTGCTGCTTTTGCTGCTGCTGCTGCTGCCGCTGCTGCTGCCGACGCGTAGTGCTTTAGTGTCGAGCAGTGTCGTACTGCTGTTGTTAGAGTTCAGAGCCTAGGGTTTAGGGTTTAGGGTTTAGGGTTTAGGGTTTAGGGTTTAGCATGCAAAACCGTGAACTTAATGGAGTCTCCTGAGGACATCCCCGGCAGCGTCGGCCGCAGCCGCCGCCGCCGCCACCACAGCAATACCAATCAACAGCAGCAGCAGCAGCAGCAGCAGCAGCAGCAGCTAGAGCCACAGCAGCAGCAGCAGGAGCAGCAGCAGCAGGCGCAGGCCCCTGCTGCAGCTCCAGAGCAGCAAAGTAGCATTGTCGAAGAGAGACGCAGCAGCAGCAGCAGACACACAGGGGCTCTCGGCGCGCAGCTGCGTCGCCGCTTCAGAAGAAAACCCCACAGCAGCAGCAGCAGCAGCAGCAGCAGCAGCAGCAGCAACAGAAGACAGGAACGCCTGCAGAACAGAGACAGCGTACTGAGGGTCCTTCCTTTCGACCAGTTGCTGCCGCTTGCTGCTGCAGCAAAAGAGAAAAGCAGCACAGAACACACAGCTGCAGCAGAAAATGAGCAGCAGCAGCAGCAGCAGCAGCAGCAGCAGCAGCAGCAAGCTTGGGGATCTCCCGCAGTTCGTTTGCCCTTTTCTAATCTAGAAGTGGAACTTTATAGGGGCCCCCCTTTGTCTGCTGCTGCTGCTGCAGCAGCAAAAGCAGCAGGGCCTTTCTTGAGTAGGAAGCTGCTGCCTTTGCTGCGCTGCGCGCTGAGTTGCTGCTGCTACCGCGGCGCTGCTGCTGCTGCAGCTGCAAAGCCCTTGCAGCAGCAGCAGCTGCAGCAGCTGCTGCAGCAGCTGCCCCACGGCTACATCTGCTGCCACATTCTTCAGGAAGCAGCAGCAAGACTCAAGCAAGCAGCAGGGCTTCCAAGCGACCCCTTTGCAAAAGAGCAGCAACACAGCAGCAGCAGCAGCAGCAGCAGCAGCAGCAACAGCTTTTTCCACTTCTACGAGTTTGCTGCTGAAGGGCCCCTGGGGCCCCACAGCAGCAGCAGGGAGGCCCCTGAGCAGGGCCTCCCCCGCAGCAGCAGTCTTGCTGCGCTGCAGGAGCTGCTGCAGCAAAACGAAGTGCTGCAGCAGCTGCTGCAGTACTACAGCCTGCTGCTGTCCCCTGAGCTGCTGCCTCTCGTGTCTCTTCGACGCGGCCTGCCCTGCGCAGCAGCAGCAGAAGCAGCAGCAGCAGGCGCAGCAGCAGCAGGAGCAGCAGCAGCAGGAGCAGCAGCAGCAGAAGCAGCAGCAGCAGGCCGCAGGAGCGCGCTGCTGCTGCAGACGGCCCCGCTGCTGAGCTGCCTGCCCATCGCCCCGTGGCACCTGTGGTGGCCCAAAGCAGCAGCAGCAGCAGCAGCAGCAGCAGCAGCAGCAGCAGCAGGGCCGCCGCTGCGCTGCTGCTTCCGGGTGTCTGTACAGCTGCTGCACGTGGCTCTCTCCGACTGCCACTTGTTCAGAGAAGAAGATGCAGCAGCACAAAAGTTAATTTCTACTTTTGAAGTTTATTCTTATTTGCTGCGCTGCTGCAGCGGGCAGCAGCTAGCAGCAAGACTTTGCTGCTGCTGCTGGCTTTCCAGAGAAGTCCGAAGCAGCTGTGGGGCCCCACAGGAGCTGCTGCCGCTGCTGCAGGCTGCTGCTGCAGTCGTCGACGCCTTCGAGCAGCCGCAGCCGCTGCAGCAGCAGCAGCAGCTGCTGCTGCAGCACCTGCAGCGGCTCCCGCTGCTGCAGCAGCAGCTGCAGCAGCTCAGCTCCTGGCTCTCCGCGCTCAAGGCACAGGAGCCCCAGGTAGGAAGCAGCAGCAGTTTGCTGCTGCCGTTGCTGCTGCGCTTGCCGCCGCTGCTGCTGCTGCTGCCTATGCTGCTGCTGCCTATGCTGCTGTTGCTGCTGCTGCTGCTACTGCTGTTGTTGCTGCTGCTGCTGCTACTGCTGTGCTGCTGCTGCTGAGCTTTGGGTGCAGCTGTGGCAGAAGTGGAGAAGCCATCTGCAGCAGCGGCGGCTGCTGCGGCTGCAGCGGGACCAGCAGCAGCAGCAGTTTGCTGCTGCACTGCTGCTGTTGAGCAGCAGTGGCAGCAGCTGCTGCAGCACAGGGAGCGCCAGGGCTTTGCAGCAACGCCGCTGCAGCTGCAGCACATTCTCCAGTCGTGAGGCATGCTGCTGCTCTTGCTGCTGCTCTTGCTGCTGCTCTTGCTGCTGCTGTTGCTGCTGCTCTTGCTGCTGCTCTTGCTGCTGCTCTTGCTGCTGCTCTTGCTGCTGCTTTTGCTGTTTCTTTTGCTGTTGCTGCTGCTGCTGCTGCTGCTGCCTGGTTGCTGCAGCAGCATTCGCTCTAGTCCTTATTTTGCCTTCTCCTTCGCCAAATAAATTATCTTTATTATCCTTATAATTGTCACTTTTAGAACATTTATTACTTTTTTATTTTTATTTTTATTTTTATTTTTATTTTTATTTTTATTAATTATTTATTATTATTTTCATTAATATGCTTTTATAGGAAAGATGCAGCAGCAGACAGGCAGCAGCTCATCGAAGAAGTAGCAGCAGAGCTCGAAGAGCTCCTTACCTACAAAGTCGACACTCAGCAGCAGCAGCAGCAGCAGCAGCAGCAGCAGCAGCAGCAGCAGCAGCAGCAGCAGCAGGAGGTAGGGTTTGATGCTGCAGCAGTCCTTGCAGCTATACTGTACAAGCTGAGCAGCACAAAAGTGAGAAAACCGGGAGAGCCTCTGCAGCTGCTGCTGCTGACTTCCCCAGTAAGTTAACAAGGGTTTAGGGTTTAGGGTTTAGGGTTTAGGGTTTAGGGTTTAGGGTTTAGAGTTTAGGGTTTGGCGATGCACCGTAAAGCCCTAAGCCTCGGAAGAGGCGAGTGCAGCAAGTAGTTGATAAAAAGCATTAAAAATAAAAAAATTAAAAATAAAAATAAAAATAAATAAATAAAATAAATAAAAGAAAATAAAAATATATTAAATCCTAAAAATAAAAATAAAAATAAATAAATAAAATAAATAAAAGAAAATAAAGGTATATTAAACTGCCGCAAAACGCAGCAGCAAAAGCTAGCTGCTTCAAGGCCTCTAAACCCTAAACTCTACCCCAAACCCTAAACCCTAAACCCTAAACCCTAAACCCTACGCTGCAGCGTTTGTGCTGCAGCCCGAAGGCCAAGAGCAGCAGGGGCCCCCGGGGGGCCCCCAGGGGCCCCCGGGGGGCCCCCAGGGGCCCCCGGGGGGCCCCCAGGGGCCCCCGCAGCTGCCGCTGCAGGAGCAGCTGCGGCAGCTGCTGGCCCGCAACTTAGCTGCTGCTGTTTGCTGCCGCATTAATGGCAAAGCTGTGGGGCCCCACACCCAAGTGGGCCTCAGCTTTCCTTACTTTTCTTCTGCTGCTGCATACCCTCTTGCTGCTCCCCTGCCCTTCGACGCCCTGCAGCAGCAGCAGCAGCAGCAGCAGCAGCAGCAGCAGCTGCAGCAGCAGCCGCTGCAGCAGCAGCAGCTGCTGCAGCTGCAGCAGCAGCCGCTGCAGCAGCAGCAGCAGCAGCCGCTGCAGCAGCAGCAGCTGCTGCAGCAGCAACAGCAGCCGCTGCAGCAGCAGCAGCTGCTGCAGCAGCAACAGCAGCAAGAGGAGGCGCTCGCCTCGTTTCAAACCACCTTGAAGGAGCCGCTCGTCGATATTTCGCTACACGTTGGAGTCACGCACCCAGGTCAGCAAGGGTTTAGGGTTTAGGGTTTAGGGTTTAGGGTTTAGGGTTTAGGGTTTAGGATTCAGGCTATTGAGTTCACTTTGTGGGCTTTTGGGCCCCAAGTTTTCAGCTTGACTTCAATTGGGGCTAACTAGCCGCAGTCTTCGGAATCCGGGGTCTCGTCTTTAGGGTTTAGGGTTTAGGGTTTAGGGTTTAGGGTTTAGGGTTTAGGGTTTAGGGTTTGCGCAGGCCTTCCCAAGCCCATAGAAGCCCAAGTGGCAGTGCCGCTGCCCCCACAGTTTGAGGCCTTTGCGCAGCAGCTGCTGCTGGGGGGCCCCCTGGGGGCCCCCCGGGGGGCCCCCCAGGGGCCCCCCCCTCCCCCCATATCTTGTCCTATGACTGTGTGCATAGATCTTCCCTTTGCTTCTCCCAGCAGCAGCAGCAGCAGCAGCAGCAGCAGCAGCAGCAGCAGGGGGGAGAGGGGAGCGGGGCAGGAAGACGGGCCCAAGCGGACTCCTGCAGCCGCTGCTGCTGCTGCTGCTGCTGCTGCTGCTGCTGCTGCTGCTGCTGGGCAGCCTGCGCTGCAGCTGCTTAGATCAGACCCCCGCCTCGCGGGGCTGTGGGGCCGCTGCAGCACAATTGATTCTGCTGCTGGGGGGGCCCCGGGGCCCCTCCTTGAACCTGTGCCTTCTTTCTTGCTTCTTGAAGCAGCAGCAGCAAGAGACAGAGAGCAGCAGCAGCAGCAGCAGCAGCTGCTGCTGCTGGACATGCCCCTGTGGGGGGGGCTTCCTGCGACGCACGCTGCAGCAGCAGCAGCAGCAGCAGCAGCGCCTGGACTGAAGCTGCAGCAGCAAGAGCTGGCTGCTGCTTGGGCTGCAGCAGAGCAGCGCAGCCGCTCCGTTGCTGCTGCTGCTGCTGCTGCAGCACGCGCTGCTTCTGCTGCCTACGTCGCAGAGGCAGCAGAAGCAGCAGCAGCAGGAGTTTATGCTGGCACCGACGCAGAAGAAGATGGCAATGCAGCAGCAGCAGCAGCTGCTGCTGCTGCTGCAGCAGCAAGAAGGAGGCCCTTCTCTCTTGCTGCTAGGCATGTGCGTTCTGTGTTTAACAGAATAGCCCGCGCAGCAAACAGCACCCCACAGCAACCTGCTGCTGCTGCTGCTGCTGCTGCTGCTGAATCAGCAGCAGCAGCAGCAGGCGAGGCCGGCAGCGGCTTGCAAACCCCCATCGACTCTCCCAGCGCTGCTGCTGCTGCTGAACCAGCAGCAGCAGCAGCAGCAGCAGCAGCAGCAGCAGCAGCAGCAGCAGGGCCAGTCTTCGCAACTGAGCAGCAGCACGAAAAACTTCTTCCCATATCTTCTGTTTTTTCTTTAGAGTCGGGGGGCCCCTCAGCAGCACTTGTGCAGCAGCAGCTGAGCTTTGGGGGCCCCCAAGAAGAAGCTGCTGAGCCCCATTCGACGCTGTCTCCTTTTGAGTGAGTCCAACTTCGCTGCTGCTGCTGCTGCTGCTGCTGCTGCTGCTGCTGCTGCTGCTGGTGTTAGTGGGTGTGCGTTGCTGCAGGCCCGGTGGGGCTGCAGCAGCGCAGCAGCTGCACTAACAGCAGCAGCAGCTGCTGCTGCTGCTGCCCATAGATGCGTCACAAGGCGCCTTTGCTGCTGCTGTTGCTGCTGCTGCTGCACTTGCTGCTGCTGCACTTGCTGCTGCTGCTGCTGCTGCTGCAGGAACTGGTGGCGAGTCGCTGGCTGTTTAAAAGTCCGGATCACAATTGCTGCGATGCCGCAGCAGACTGAAGAGCCCACAAGTCTTATCTCCCCAGGTACCCATTAGCCCTAAACCCTAAACCCTAAACCCTAAACCCTAACCCTCAAACGCTGAGCCCTACACCTCAAACCCTAAACCCTAAACCCTAAAGCCCCCCTCAAAGCGTCCACCCAAACCCCTAGGGGCCCCTAGGGACCCCCGTAGGTCCCCTGGGGGCCCCTGGGGACCCCTGGGGGCCCCTGGGGGACCCTGGGGGCCCCTGGGGGCCCCTGGGGGCCCCTGGGGGCCCCTGGGGGCCCCTGGGGGCCCCTGGGGGCCCCGTGAGGGCCCTTTGGGCGTCCTTTGGGGGCCCCCTGGGGGCCCCTGGGAGCGTTCGGGGAGGGTACTAAAAGGGTTTGTTGTGGGGTTTTGCTTTTAGGGTTTGAATGGTTGGCAATAAAAAAAGAAAAGGCAGCAGCAAGAGCCCGCCAGCCCTCAGCTGAGGTGTACGTACACCGCAGACTCCCGCAGCCCCAAGAGGCCCTTTTCCAGGGCCTCAACTGCCCCCCTTTAGTACCCTTTCAGGAGGCCCTGGGGGCCCCCCTGGGGGCCCCCGGGGGGGCCCCCGGGGGGGCCCCCGGGGGGGCCCCCGAGGGGTCTCCGTGGCTTGCGGCGCTGGCGCAGATGTCCCACAAAAGTGTAGAACTTTATCCTGTGTCTTTTCTGGGAAAGTCTTTTAGAATTTGCTGCAGACTGCAGCGGCTGTACGCTGCTGCTGCTGCTGCAGCAGCAGCAGCAGCAGCAGCAGCAGCAGCAGAGCCGGTCGCAGCCACCGACTGGGAAGCACTGCTGCAGCTTCTGAGGCAGCAGAAACGAAAGAGGGGCCCCCCAAGGGGGCCCCCCGAGGCCCCTGGGGGGCCCCCGGGGGCCCTCTGGGGTCTGTGGGGTTTTGAGGTGAGTTTGAAAATAAAAATAAAACTTTAAAAGGTTTTAATTTATTTATTTTTAAAACAAAAACTGCCACAAAAGAAAACCAAAAAAGACAAACTTAGATGCATCAGAGGCACTTGAAAGTGGCAGCAGAGTATTTTTAGTGCAACGCTGCAGCAGCAGCAGCAATAGCAACAGCAGCAGCAGCAACAGCAGCAACAGCAACAGCAGCAGCAGCAGCAGCAGCAGCAGCAGCAGCAGCAGCAGCAGCTTTGACCTGCATGCGTCTGCTGCAGATGGGCTTCTACGAGCGAAAGCTGCGGCATTTTCTTCTCACAAATGAAGACGCAGCAACAGCAGCAGCAGCAGCGCTGCTGCTGCTGCCGCAGCCGATGGAGCAGCTGCAGCCAGCCCTTGAGGCGGGCCCCACAGAGCCCTCTGAGCCTCAAACAGCAGCAGCAGCAGCAGCAGCAGCAGCAGCAGCAGCAGCAGCAGGAGAGTGTCCGCTGTTACTTAGAAGCGGCTTGCTGCGGTACCTGCTGGCCCCGCTGCAGCAGCAGCAGCAGGGGGCACTGACGGAGGAGCAGCTGCAGCAGCAGCTGCAGCTGCTGGAGCAGCAGCTGCAGCAGCTGCTGCAGCAGCGGCCAGTGCTGCCGTACGCTGCTGTAGTAAGAGAAGCAAATCTGCGCATTTGCTTCCTCCCGCTGCTGCGGCTTTGCTGCAGCAGACGCAACAAGTGCTGCTGGGGGCCTTTGCTGCTGCTGCTGCTGCTGCTGCCTGTGGCGCTGCGCCGGCGGCTGCAGCAGAAGGAGAAGCAGCAGCAAAGTAAACGCCTGTCTTACCTGTGGCAGGACCAGCAGCAGCAGCAGCAGCAGCAGCAGCAGCAGCAGCAGCAGCCGACGATGGAAATCCGAGCCTTTGTGCGTTTCTTCTCCCTTTCAACTTTTATTTATTTTTAATTTTTCTTTTAAATAAAATGGCAGCTGCAGCTGCCGAATAACACTTGGCGAGCCTATGCACATGCTCCTCAGCCCGCTGCTGCTGCTGCTGCTGCTGCTGCTGCTGCTGCTGCTGCTGCTGCTGCTGCTGCAGGTGCGGGGCCTCTACAACGTCCCGCTGCGGCGGCTGCCAGCAAACCCTTCAGAATGGCACAGCAGATACCGACAGGGGGGCCCCCTGGGTTTGGGGGCCCCTGGATTGGAGGGTTTTAAGCTTTATGGGGGCCCCCCTGCTGCTGCTGCTGCTGCTGCTGCTGCTGCTGCTGCTGCTGCTTGCCCGCAGGGCTGCTGCTGCAGCAGCTGCAGCAGCGGCAGCAGCAGGCCCCACGCGGATGTGCTGCAGCTCAGCTGCCCCTCTGTGGCTGTGAGAGTTTGCTTCCCCGATTTAGGCATAGACGCAGCAGCAGAAACAGCAGCAGCAGCAGCAGCAGCAGCAGCAGCAGGAGAAAACCTTGTCTTGAATCAGGTGATGCTGCTGCGCTTTAGTTCCTGTATGTCTTTTGTTTGTTTGTTTATGTTTATTGCATTATTTAGATTATATTATTAATTAATTTAATTAATTAATTTAATTAATTAATTAACTAATTAATTTAATTAATTACCGAATTACTTAATTAACTAATCAATTAATTAATTAACTTATTTATTTATTTATTTATTTATTTATTTATTTATTTATATTTTATTTTCTTTTATTTCCCTTTTATGTGCAAAATGAAGTTGGCAGCATTTAAGCACAAGTGCAGATTTAAAAATAAAATAGAAATAATAAAAGTAAATAATATAAATAAATATATATAATATGAATAAATAATATAAATATAAATAAATATAAATATAAATAAATATAGATATAAATAAATATAAATATAAATAAATATCAATAAATATAAACAAAAACAAATTAAAACAGATAAAATTAAATATAAATAAATATAAATAAGTACAAATTAATAAAAATAAATCCAAATAAATATAAAGGAGTATAGATAATAATATAATGTAAATGTAAATATAAATATAAATATAAATATAAATATAAATATAAATATAAATATAAATATAAATATAAATATAAATATAAATGAATTATGTGCGGCAGCAGTATAAATATTTTTATTTATAATTTTTGGCGAATTAATTTTTATTTATTATTCATTATTCAAAATGAATCGTAGTAGCTCTTGTGCTGCTGCTGTTGCTGCTGCTGCTATTGCTGCTGCTGCTGCTGCTGCTGCTGCTGCAGGCAATATCTCTTCCGCTGCTGCAGCTGCAGGGCATGACTGGAGAGCAGCTGCAGCAGCTGCGGGGCCACGTGTACATATCTGTTTATGACGACTTAAGCAGCAGCAGCAGCAGCAGCAGCAGCAGCAGCAGCAGCAGCAGCGGGGGCCCGCAGGTGCTGCTTGGCTGCTTGCAGCTCCCGTGGCAGTCGCTGCTGCTGTCGGCCACGGAGGGGGCGGCTGACATCGTTGCTGCTGCTGCTGAGCAGCAGCAGCAGCAGCAGCAGCAGCAGCAGCAGCAGAAGCAACTCTTCAGCAGGCTGCTTGATGTTGCTGCTGATGGCAGCTGCTGCCTTTGCTTCCTCAACGGCTGCTTCCGGCTGCAGCAGCCGCGGGGGCTGTTGACGCATGCGCGGGTGTCTTACTTGGCAGCAGGCCAGCAGCAGCAGCAGCAGCAGCAGCAGCAGCAGCAGCAGCAGCAGCAGCAGCAGCAGTGGACCACTGGTCTCTTGGCAGAACCCCCCTTCGACTTGTTCGTTTCCCTCAAACTCGAAATCAGGGGCCCCGCTGCTGCCTTATGCTGGGGGCCCCCCCGGCCGCTGATGCCTGAGGAGCTGCTGCCGCTGCTGCAGCAGCAGCAGCAGCAGCAGCAGCAGCAGCAGCAGCAGCAGCAGCAGCAGCAGGTCGGCAGCAGCACAAACGAAAGCTGGGCCCTCATCGCCCACGACCGCCGCTGGAGGCGCCGAGCCAGGCGCTCAGGTGTATGGACACCTCCCTCTTCAATTGGTAACCTAAACCCTAAACCCCAAACCCTAAACCCTAAACCCTAAACCCTAAACCCTAGCTCAGCTTCTCTTCACAATGGCCCCTGGACGTGCAGGCTGGGGTTTAGGGTTTGGCTCTGCACGCGCATCAGCAAACTCCCATTAGCCTTTAGGGTACTGGGCTTAGGGTTTAGGGTTTAGGGTTTAGGGTTTAGGGTTTAGGGTTTAGGGTTTGTGGTTTGTGCGTTTGCGGTGCGGCAGCGGTGGACAGCCACGGGCAGCTGCTGCTGCTGTGCAGGCTGCTGCTGCCCGCGCTGCCGCCTGCTGCTGCTGCTGCAGCATTTGATCCTTTTTGCTTCGAAAGAGCAGCAGCATTTGTTTCTTTGCTGCCCACTGTTCAGGCCTCTCAGGTTTTCAAAAGTAAACAGACACAAACACTCTAGTGGCTAGCTAGCTAGCTAGCTAGCTAGC